ACAGCTGGTACAAATGCAGAAAGGGAGGGAGATGTAATGTTGAGTTCAAGGGCTGGCTTGTAGTCCAGTTGGACTGGAATGCATAAGATATGAAGTGAAATAATGTGAAATGAGCCTAGAAATGGAGGTGGGAGCTAGAAAGTGGAGGGTGGTCAATACCAATCTGAGCAGTTTGTATTTTATGCTTAAGCTAGGAGGGAACCATTGAAGATTCTGACCAGGGAAGTACTTGCTCACACCTTGCTTAGAAAGAGAAGTCACACCCATGCCTTATTTGGCAGCTGTGTTGAGAATATTTTGGAAAGAGGAGAACTTGGAAGCAGAGACGCCAGCTGGGAGACTGTTACAATAATCCAGGAAGCCAGTGGGCCCAAATTAGGATGCTGATGGTCAGAAGGGGGCAGATCTAAAAGCTCTTACGAAGATTTATGCAACAAGACTTTGACAACTGATCAACTACAGGAGTAGAGGAGAAGAAATAGTCCAAGATGAATCAGTTTATGAACCTGAAAGGATGACAGTCTTCAAGAGAAATTAGGTAATTTGGAGAAGGGGCAGGTTTAGAGGGGAATATTATGAGTTGTGCTTTGTACATACTGAGCTTGAGATGCTTGTGGCAAGCAGTTTGAATATATGTGACTGAATGGAGGGAACAAGCATTTATTAAAGTTCCTAGTATGTGATAAGCACTTTTACAAATATGATATCATTTTGATCCTCACTACAAACCTGGGAGGTAGGTGCTATTATTATCCCCATTTTATAGATGAGGAAACTGAGGCTGAGAGAGGTTAAATGACCTGCCCAGGCTAGTGAGGGTCTGAGGCTAGACTTGAACTTGGGACTTCTTGATTCCAACTTTGACTCTATCCACTGTACCACCTAGCTGCCTCTGGAATTGAAGTTCAGATACCTTCATTTCAACTTCATTCTCTCTGCAAGTCTGGCAAGTTACCTTCTTATTTGTAGTAAACTCTCTCAAAAATCAATAAATGTGTAATGAAAATAGATTTTAAAGTCCTGGGTGTCCCACAAAGGGACACCCAACTGTCACAGATCAATCAAGTAGCTAAAAACTGAAAAGTCATAGATTTTTATTTGTCCTCCCATCCATTATCAAAGAGGCAGCTTCCTACCTTTTCAAACTTCTCACACTTGACTCCCCTCCTCTTCAGCCCAGCCACACTGCCCTATTTCAGTTCCTCAAAAATGACACCCCATCTCCAATTCCATGCCTTCAAATTGGTTGTGCCCCATGCCTACAATTTCTTCTCCTCTTACCTCTGATTCTTGGCTTCCCTGACCTCTTTCAAGATTCGGCTCAAAGCCCACATTCTAAAGGGGGCCTTTCCGGCCCCTCCCCACCTGCTAATGCCTTCTTTTGGACTGCTATCCATCCTCAATATATCTTCTATGTAGTTAGTTATTTGCATGTTTTCTGCCCCATTAGAAAAAAGATCTTTGGCAGTACTAGGCTTTTGTTGTTGTTGTTTTGAGGGGGGTGGAATTTGGTATTTTTCTTTGTATCTATCTCCACACAGTACAGTGCCTGGCACTTAGTAAGGGCTTAATAAATGCTTATCCCCTAACTCACTATATAGAATCAGGAGATCTTGGTATTTATCCTGACCTTATGACTCTCTATGTAACCTTGGGCAAGTGACATAGGCTCTCCGAATCTATTTCTTCATCTGTAAAAAAAGGGTTCAGATCAAATGATTTGAGATCCTTTCCGTGTTATGATTCTATGAAGAAACCAGATACTTACTTATATTATACTATCAAGTCTGTTAAATGAAAGTTGCACTAGATGGATGATCTCTAAGGTTTCTTTCAGACCTAAATCTATAAACTCAGGTCTTTGGGTGCTTAGTATTCTAGGCCGACTACTCTGTCCCCAAGGAACTCACAATCCAGAGCAGAGGTATTAAACGCCAGGCTACATGTAGCCTGTAATACTCCCTAGTGTCCCTGAATCAGATTAAATGTAATTGGGAAATATTCAACAAAATAAATAAAAATACAATAAAACATAGATAACATTACATTTAAAACTAAGTCAACATGCAGGTATGGGGATCCTTATGTACAAGTTAGTGGTCCTGCTACGTGTTTGACACCTCTGTTAGAGGAAATAAAACTCAACAGGCAAAAATAACTGGAGAATAATTAAATGTAAACTAGACAATACCCAAAAGGAAGAGATTAGTATATACTGAAGGAGCTGGGGAAGAAGCTGAATAGAGGCAAGGGAAATGTGAGATCATTCCAAGTTGGGGAGGAAGAAAGGGGAGAGAGATGATAGAATGTAAATAAAGAGCAAAGTGGTTCAAGGAGTACGTGTAAGGAAGGCAGGCCAGAGAGGCCTGTTCTTCAGGAAAAACGACAAACAAGGCCTCATTGATTCTACAGATAAACAAATGGGGGAAATCAATCCTGAATCTAAATGGCTGGGACTTGTCAGGGGAGGATGGTTGGTTCATTTTTGCCAGAGAGAGTCCTTCAACCCAATAACCATTACCTACCTCTTCAGGTCAGAGATTTTGTTAATATCAATCAGGGGACTTCAACTTGCACTTCAAAGCCTCCGGAAACCTCCAATATTATTCTATGCCTGGAGATATGGTGTTGTCTTAATTCTGTATTTAGACAAAGACTTTCTAGTTGCCTTCATGGAAATGCCTGTTGTTTCCAGACAGAGGGAAAGCTTTCCACCAGCAGCATCTCTAAAATATGTTCTAATGATCCAAGTTAGAAAATACCAGCTCTCTGGCAATGGTTGCTTCAGAATTGTTGTTGTTGTTGTTGTTGTTGGTTTCCTTTCTTGTGCCTCTATAATTTTATTTGGATGACTAAATCTCTGGACTATGTTAGCCATAAACAGAATTAATTTAACTCCTGTTTCTTTGAAACAGCTGCTGACAGCTGCACTGTAATTCAATCAAGGATCTTTGTTGTTGAACCTACCAAACATTCAGAATTTTTTGTTGTTTCATTTTGTGTTGTTCAGTCTCTCCTGTACTGAGACCCCAAACAGCTGCATCAGAGACTGACATTCACTTTTAGGCAGAGCCTACTAGCAGAAGTGAGCATTGATATAGCATTTTATAGGAAGAGTTCAAATATTGAAGCCTCAAAAATTCA